GAATATTCGTTTTTGAATAAAGTCTTCTTCTCGAATAATTCGAATACTCGATATTCGAATATTCGAAAAAGCGCATTTATTCGATTTTTCGAGAGACAACGCCATCATTTGATTATTCAAATAGTCGAGTATTTTGTACATCAACATTCGAATATTCGAGTTCGAATGGTTTTACCGAGATTCGAATAATGTCGATGTTACAGAATATTCGAACTCGATCGTTCGAATGTCTGCGAAATCATCGAATAATTGTTTCATCGAATATCTGTAAAATGAATATGATTGAGATTGCGTAATTATGTTTGACTGAAATATTCGAATAATTTGATTTTTGCCATTCGAGCAGCCGAATATTCGAGAAAACGCACTAATTCTGTCATTCGAATGTTCGAATATTCGGGCGGGCCCAAATGTTCGATAATTCGAATTCGAGTAAGGATGTCACTATACGAATATTCGACTAGAGATTAGTAAATACTCTAGGGATATGCGAATTTTTTGTGAGATCTTGGACAAGTTGGTCTAACGGTGAGTGTCCAGGAATGTTTGCTTGTCATCAATACTTAATGTCATTCAAAAGTGTTGAAGTTTATTCCCTTTTTAGGAAAAAAGATCTTGGAACTAATGATCCTACCCATTCAAGTGCATCTATGCGTGTGTGTATATGTGTGTATGTGTGTGTAATGTATGTGGTATGTACGTGGATGCTGAGACTCTTGGGCGAAGGGTGGGCCCGTATAAGAAACAATGAGAACTGTGAAACACTAGAAATTGGTGGTTCAGCGTTTATTGCGATTACTGTACCGAGAACAACGAGTACGACCTTACGTGTTCCAAGCGTGTAGGAGAGTGGGTGAGGGACTTTCCAGTTAACGTAAGGTAGGCGAAGCCCGCCCCTCACAAGAGATCAGATACGGTAAAGCAAGGAATCATCCGTTCTACGATGATAGTGTGTATGTGTGTATGCATGTGTGTATGTGTATGCATCTATGTATGGTATGTGTGTATGTGTGTATGTATGTGTATATGTGTATGCATGTATGTGTGTTTGTATGTGTGTATGTGTATGTGTTATGTGCATATGTATGGTGTGAATATGTGTGTATGTGTGTACAATGTAGGCATGTGTGCGCTGTGTGTATACATACACATTTTGGGATATCGATTAGTATTGGTTTCTAAATCCCTACTCTAGATAGCTTAGGCAGTCGGTACGCTGGGGTAGGTTGATGCTAACTACTAGTATGATAACCAGTCAAGGGTTATCGATTGGTTTTATTGATTCATTTATGAACTGTCCTGAGGCGCCGGGAGTTGGTGTACTGGGGCAAGTTGATATGCTGATTACGACTTTAATACACTCAAAGATCTATTGTTGGATTCTTTTAACTCATCAATTTTTCGCATTTCTCGCAGTGCTAGAAATGGTGCATAAGGGTTTGTTGACATGTTGATTACGAATCTAATTTTAATTTGGAGATATGTATCTTTCTTACTGATTCGTAGAATCTCATATTTATCGTTTCAAGCTGCTAGCAAGTAATGTAATGTACCTATTTTAGGGTATGGCGGTCATGCTTCAAGCCGAAATTATTTTTACTTATACTGATAGTCTTAAAAGCTGAACTATACCCTTTACAAAAAAAATAAACCCTAAAAAAACTGTAACTACTTAGCCAGCCAAGCGTAGCCGGATTTTCAATATTGTCT